TTCCGCAAATGCTTCCAAAAAGGTTTCGAAGTTGTTTAATATGGATGATCGTTTCTCAAACAAAGGAGCAAACCATGATAGAGCTTGTCCCGTAAGTAAGGTTTCAACAAGCCCAACACGTGACTCCTCCGTTGAATATCGTTTGGACTGTAAAACTGTTATCAACCTGATTTGATTGACGAATCCTCGAAACTTGGAACGTGTTCCATCAAACTTATCTGGAAGGCTAACTCGAGGCTCCTTATGTTGTAGAACTAGTGGTTCTTGTCGAACCTGAGATAAAGTTGTTTCTCCAAGTGCCAAAATTTGAGGCTAGTGTAGTTTAGATTGTGCTATCCTAGATACTCCATCATTATGAAGCCTTGCCACCACTCCTTCAATCTCTGCAGTTCTTTGTGATAACGTAGCGAGGGCATTCATAATAGCATCTAACTTAGACTCCGAACTTTCTGTCATACTAATGTCTTGACCTCCGGCCATTCTAAAAGAAGGACAAAAATGACCCTATAAGAGGCAATATTGGTTTATAGGAGGGTAATCCACAACCTATAAAATGCCTTAAGAATTTCAAGAAGAGGGGTAATCCACTCTCTCCAAGAAGAATAAGACTCCAATATTGTAACAAAAGAAGTATCAGTTTAGAGGAGGGTAATCCGCAACCTCTAAAAAATGCTAGTATACCTTCAAGTAGAGGGGTAATCCACACTCTACTAAGAAAGAACTAGCTCTGATATCTCAAGTTAGTGTAGTCTCGACAAACTGTCACGGACACAAAATACAGACTTGAAATCTAACAAAAAGTTCAAGAAGAAGTGACAAAACTAGATTAAACAGATGAGTACAAGAACAACACCAGAAAAGTGAGCTAGAACTCCAAGAGATGTGTTGTCGAGACTGAAGAACTCTTCAGCCTTGATCCCTATATATACTCCTATTTAGGAAGCTTCTCGAGTTACTTCTATTAACTAGGAAGCTTCTAGAAGGTTCCAGAGGCTTCCTTTCTAGAAGGTTCTAAAAACTTCTCGAGCTACTTCTATTAACTAGGAAGCTTCTAGAAAGTTCCAGGGGATTCCTTTCTAGAAGCTTCTAGAAACTTCTCTTCTAGAAGGTTCCAGAGACTTCCCTTCTAGAAGCTTCTAGAAACTTCTCTCTAAAAGGTTCCAGAGGCTTCTCTTCTAGAAGGTTCTACAGGCTTCTTTTCTAGAAGGTTCTAGAAACTTCTCGAGCTACTTCTATTAACTAAGAAGCTTCTAGAAAGTTCCAGGGGATTCCTTTCTAGAAGCTTCTAGAAACTTCTCTTCTAGAAAGTTCCAGAGACTTCCCTTTTAGAAGCTTCTAGAAACTTCTCTCTAAAAAGTTCCAGAGGCTTCTCTTCTAGAAGGTTCCAGAGGCTTCTCTTCTAGAAGGTTCCAGAGGCTTGTTTTCTAGAAGGTTCTAGAAACTTCTCTCTAGAAAGTTCTAAGGAATATGTCCCTAACAACATGCAAAAAAGCACTTGCACCTACAAATATAGGTTTAATTATACTAGACTTATGACTTTCTACTTGATTAACTACACTCTTAGTTATACTTTCAGAAAAGTCAAGACTACGAGAAGTCCAATGTATTTTAGGATTATAATTTTTTAGCCATGATAAACCTAAAATGACTAGATTAGAAAGAGATCTAATGATATTAAATATTACAAAGCTACTATGACCATTACTTGTTATTTCTATAGGAAGTGTTTCATTAGTAACATCCTTTGAAGATAATAGACGACCATCTATGACTCCTACATGAACAAGTTTAGTTTTCTTTACTAAAAATATGCTATGTCTTTTAGCAAATTTTTCATCTAAGAAACATGCTAAGGCTCCTGAATCTAGCAAGGCAAAGACTTTGAGATGTTTAGGTCCTAGAATAACATTTATCATAAAACATGGAAGGGGTTCTGAGGAGAGGATTGGACCTTTATTAGGCATTGTACAAGGTTCTAACCGCACGGTTCCTATTATAGCTGAATAAATTTGTTTTTCGACATGCTATCTCCTTTGATCACCATACTCCTCATTTTATGGTTGCGTTGCTTCTTTGGGCAATGTTGAGCAGTGTGCTTAGGTTCTCCACAATATAAGCACAATCCTTTCTAACGACGATGAGTATTTTCTTGCTTAATAAGAGGTTTAAAATGTACTGCATTTATTTGCATATCCTCTACTTCCGAATGTATGTGTTGAAGAGATGTTGGTATTGCTATTGAATTATAATAACGTTGAGGTCCACTTGTATGGTTCTCAAATCAAAATTCAATAAGGTAATTGTCGTACTTCACAGCAAAGTCAATTGCTTGATTCAATGTTTGAGGATCAGATAAGTTGAGCATTAATTTTTTTACCTCATATTATAATCCGTAGAAAAATTGGCTAATAAGTGCAGCATCATCCCACTTGATATCAATTACAAGTTGTCGAAATTGTGAAACATACAACGTTAATGATTGATTGCCTTGTCGTAAAATATAGAACTTATTCGTTGCAAGACGAATTGCATCATGTTCTCCGAATATGGATCGAAACTTTGCCAAAAAATCCAGTGACCATTTTCTAAGCTTGAATCCAATGACCGTTTTATGAGCTTCATTAGGTTTAGATCTTGTGTAGAGAACAAATGCATTTGATGCTCTACTGATGTCTTAGGCTGAAGTCCGAGGGAGAGTGACCCTTCAATGTGTAAGCACCACACTAGTGTGCAACAATGCACATAACCTATCCTTCGGGTGAACAAGTATCCGCTTGTGTGTTGGGAGAGAATAATCCGCGCCACTTAACAGTACTTGCGATACGTATTGATCGGCAGTTCAGATATAAGTTACAGGACAGATGTGATCAACTGTACCAAATTTAGCTTAGACCTCATGGAGTCAAGGCATTGTGTAACAAATATTCTAGTGACACTTCCACCGGATGGTGAACATTCTATGATGCGAAGAATGCGTGATACCTATTGTGAGTACGTGATGCTTCACATACCATCGCTTTCAACAAACCTGTCATGTGACACCTTAATAGTGTATGAGACTATTAGGATTAAATACGGGCAACGGGAAACAGAGCCAGCTGTAATACTTTATTGGTAAGGAGATAGAAAGACACATACAGGGCAATCGAATGCAGACAACACTCGTATCTAGATTGAACACCAAGTTCCGATCGATTTTCAACCTAACTTCCAGAAATGACGGAATATCAGGTATGAATGCTTCAGCTTTGTTGAAGCAATACTTCACTTCCATGTCTGGGAACCGTTACATGTCCCCGCAGTTCATTTTGGGTTTCATGCGTTAATGGGTTGTTTGTATTACGCCTAATCCAGTAGTGCCCGAAAGCACAACGTGAAGTGGAGATTTGTGTCAAGGACAAGACCATGAAGAACTTAGGTTGTTACGCCACCTACCGTCGATCTTAATGAAGCAAGGAAGATTTTTGCAGATATTGCATAGTCAGTATGATGCGGTCACTGGTTATTCAGAAGTGGCCATCGAGCATTTCATAACCTGGAAGTCCGTTGGTGAAGAAACTGACCAGTAGCGTCGGCTATGTGTGAATGTGTAGTCGATGGGTAGATGATATTGTGGGTTGTCATCTCGTGAACTTTTGACACTTTCGCTGGAGACGGGTGTTGTTATATTGGTGCAATTGCAAGAATAGGTTAATTTTTTCATTGGTTCATTTGTTTTTGTTTGTTTTCTGAATCCTTGAACCTGAAACCGTCTGCTTCCAGAATGCATCGTTCTACACCCGTATGAACCACAACTTACAAAACCCTAATTATTGTCCGCATTCCCCCTCTCTCTGCTGGTCTGACCTTCATCAATATGTGAGGGAGTTCGTCCAATGTCGACTCCACTGAGCTGTGATGTCGACATTGTGTGGACTCCAAGTGTGGAGTCGTGATGCTGTGCATTGTCTGTGCTGAGAGAGTTTGAGAAAACGGGGTTGTGATGGACTTGTGTAGTGGAAATTGAGTGTTGGCAATTTAAGGGTTCTGGTGGTGCGATGTGGGGTTGGTCGACTTCGGCAGGGCTCCCCGCCCTCTGCTGTGGATGCGTGATAAATTCTGTTTGGAGTGACTGGTGTTCGCTATATTAAGCATTCTTGGAGGTAAATAGTTTACTCAACTGGAATATCATTAGATTTGGACGTTGTAACGGATGCTTATTATTTACGGCAGTAATAAACGTTTATGTGACTCTTTCATTATGCAAATCTATATTTTACGGGCGGTCATAGATTTTGGATAACCCTCCATACCCAGATCCCCAGCATGTTTCGAAACTAATGATTTGGGTCCACATCAATGCTGAAGGATTCAGAATGTTTAAAGATAGTGTGACAGGTTCTAAAAGAATTTAGAAATTAATTTTCATGAGAGGATGTAATCTTTTTTCATTAGTAGAATATTATCATAACAAATTACTCAAGTAACATTAGATGTGAAGAAATCAGATCAAATATCAAACCAAAGCAGCAATATGGAATTATATTCAAAACATTATGTTGAAAAAAAAAAGAAAAAACAGAAGATGCAAACCAGCAAACAAACAAACAAATTGTCATGTTCACTCAACTTGTGACACAGATGAATATAATATGGTTTGAAATGTTTTCGCGGGCTTTGAGGTCTTTAATTACAACTTTTCGCAGAATATGTACCGTTTATATTCCTAAACCTAGAAACATCACTTATTTTTGTCTGCGACTTCAATCGATTACCAGTACCTTGTTCATCTACATTGTTCATGGTTCATTTGTATTACTACGCACAGAGTCTCCAACAATGAAGGAAATTTCTAGGAAGAACTCATACAGTTGTACAAGGCCAATTATACTCACTGCAAATTACGTGCAAATTAAACCCTAAAAACGCGGTTATAGGGGTTGAAACTTTTAGGGGTTATTCCTGCAACCACGTTGCTGCTCCGACTCGATTTTGTCCCGGTATCGTCCCGCTGGCCATTCCTTGAACTTCCGTTCGCGCGAACACGGCTCTCTCTACGCACGCACTCTGGTTTTCTGTGTGTGTGACCGGGAGGAGCGGAGGTTGTGGAACTTGGGCAAAGAGTTTTCAAACCAGAGCGTGGATTGAGTGAGAGTTGAGTAGGGCAAGATGGGAGAGCGGAAGGTCCTGAACAAGTATTATCCGCCCGATTTTGATCCGGCTAAGATCCCTAGGCGGAAGCAACCGAAGAACCAGCAGATCAAGGTGCGGATGATGCTTCCCATGAGCATCCGGTGCAATACTTGCGGGAACTACATCTACAAGGGTACCAAATTCAATTCCCGGAAGGAGGACGTCGAGGGCGAGGTGAGGAAATAGCAGACCTCTGGGGACTCGGTTGTTAATTGAAGCCCATTTTTAAGTTCCTTGTATTTTCTGGGTTGTAAGGACTGTATGCTTTATTCAATCACAGGAGTACGAATTGTTGCATGGCTATTAGAATGATGATTCCTACAGGACAATCGAAATTTGGATAAGCTGCAGTCGGAAAATTATTTGTGCGTCTTCCTAAGTCTGTCTCTGGGGTTTACAAGATCGCAGAGCGCATGCGTGGGAAAATCTGCGTGAAGAGAAGAGAATCTTCATGTCATTCTGTGATTAATGTACTCACAGAATCTGTCGCCTTTTATTGCAGACATATTTAGGTATACAGATTTTCCGATTTTACTTTAAGTGCAGTAAGTGCTCAGCCGAACTGACCATGAAGACCGACCCGCAAAACAGCGACTACATCATGGAAACTGGAGCATCACGAAATTATGAGCCTTGGCGTGCCACAGATGAGGTTTGATCTGGAAACTAACCATCTTGGTGTCTCAACGAGCGTTTGCAGAATGAAACTTTTCAGATGGAATTTAAGTATATGGTGGTATTCTGTTTGTATCAATGTCTAAATATATTCTTAGAAGCTTTTATATTGATTATTGTATGTTGTGGTTGGTCAGGCAACAGATGAGGCGGTGAAAAAAAGAGAGGCAGAGGAGCTGGGTGACGCGATGAAGGCTCTAGAGAATCGGACGTTGGATTCTAAACAGGAGATGGACATTATGGCTGCATTAGACGAAATGAAATCCATGCGAGTATGTTCTTTGTCATTTCTGTTGGTAACTGGTCTTAGAACGTCTTTTTTTCACTATGCGAAAGTATGATGATCTGAACCATAGTGGCAGCAGTAACAATTTTTTGGTTTTGGTGTTTTTTGGTTTTCTTAAGTGGCTTATGATGTTTAACCGTTATGCTGCTAACTGCTCACTGTCCGGGCAAGGTTCCCATAATCATTTTCATTCAAGAAAGTTTCCAATGGCTTTGTATTGTGGTTCATACTAGTGTGGGATAAGTGGTGCAGTCTCGGCATGCAACAGTTGCTGTGGAGGACATGATGGCAGCTCTTCGTCGCACAGCTGCCGAGAAGGTAGATCTGGAAATTTATGGATCAATTTCACTCTCAGATTGTTGCAACCACACCCCAAAACTTAACCATGCTTTTCGACATTGAACACTCTATTCATCGCTTTGATCAATTTCTGGGATGTGATAGTGTAACTTTAATAACAGAGAGTGCAAACACTATTCCATGTGGGTTTAGCTTTTTCTAGTTCATTATATGGTGATTTCTTAAATCAATTTTTATTTTAGATCGCAATTATGCTGTTTATCCTTCCCAGTTCTTAAATTTATTTCCAGTAAAGCTGCTTTTGAACCTTACGTTTCATTGCTTTTCAGGACAAAGAACTAGAAGAGCAGGACGAAGCTGTAATCAAGTCAGTTATTTTTCAGGTACTTGTCGGAACCACTTTTATCAAAATCTTTTTTGGTGAATTAACCTTTACCTCGTGATGCTGATTTCACTGGAGCGACTATCCTCAGTGTCGATCTTTTAGTTAGTTCCAACAGTTCTTGTTGATTCAGGGTTGGTTTGAAGCCGTAGCTGCACATGGTGGTAATCTGATAAGATATCGTCTTGAATTTTTTGCTACCCTGCTGGCTTAATCTGCCACTTGAGTGCAACATGCTAACATTGTGCATACATCCTGACAGAATTCCAGCAAATTTGTGCGGCGCATTGACGATGATGACTTGGAAGATGACGGTGATGAGCATTATGATGAAGAAAGCTCACTTAATCATGCCAAGTCCATGAATGGTGAAGGTTTTGTCAAGGTGCACCTTTTTGAACTGTTTTTGAGTAGGCTCTGGTCGAACTTTGGAAGGCGTGTGCAACTGTAGCCAACGATTATAGTTTCGGTTGGTTGAACGAGAAGTTCTTTCTTTGTTTTCATTGATCAGTAACACATTTAATGACGAGGTCCTCATTCTGTGGGTCTCGCAGAGAAGAAAGGTTTTAGATCCGCAAGTCAAGACAGGGCCGGCACTGGCCAGTGAAATACTCGCTATCCCTGTTCTAGAAGCTGAAGGTAAAGGTACGAGAATATTTTCCACAACATTGGATTCGAGCATTAATGTTCTATGTTTTAGTGGCTGCTCATCGTCTTCTCCTTGGGTTATGTGATGAGATTGGTTACTTGCCCCATTAGCACTTCAAGAGGCATACTAAGTTCTATGCAAAATCTATTTTGTGATCCTTTTCAATTGGTTGAAAGTGAATTTTTGTTTTTCATTAGATACAAGGTTTGTTATATTTTCTTAACCTGTTTGGTCTTGTGGTCTCTGAGCATTGTTTATGGATTTATCTTTAGGTAGCATTGGTACTGCGAAGGCTCCATCGTTTGCAGTGAGTTTGAAACCAGTTGCGTTCAACATAAAGCCCAAAGCAGGCACGGTGTCAATATCAACAAAAGAACAATCGGCAAAAGGTCAAATTGGTGAACAGGCTGCAGGTTTACCTGAGGTCACAGTTGAAAAGGACGATCAACAACCCTCTGGCGCTTTTAACTCCCTTGGTTTGGCTTATGGAAGTAGTGAGGATGATTCTGAATAGCATCTGCAACTTTTACCTCAGTGTATTATATATTCTGTTCCTTCTCAGAATTATCCGAAAAAGTTGATCCAGCGAAGGTTGAGCATTAGAGCCCTGAACAGATGGAGTTTGCGCTCACCCATTTCGTATGCCATGTGATTGTGATCAGCACGGAGATTTTATTAAATCTTGTAATTTTTTTCATCGTCAAGGTTTTTGCTCAGTGGAGGTGCTTTATCGATAGAGTTAAGCTTTCAGAGGTGCCATCACCAAACTCAATTGTCTCGAACTCAAGTGTCTAGTTTTTATGGGATGGGTGATCGTGATTGATGTTTCTTTCTCCATAGATGGTACTTCTGTGATCTGGACAGTACTCAGTAGGTTAATGTTCTAAGAAGGGGGTTGATTAAGCTATCAAATCGCTAAATCCAGCTGAAAGACGACTTTTCAAATAAAATCAACCAACTGATTTGTATAGGCGAAGAAAACTCGTGTGTAGATCCCAAATTATACAGTGAGTCATAATTGAGAGGGAAATCTTGATTTCAACTAAAATCTATGAGTAATGTGCTGTAGCAAAAATCAAATTTGAAAGGAATTAGCTTCTAAAATAAGTCAATGATGGAGTAATCTCAGTATAAGTTCAACAATGCAAATGGGAGAGAGAAACATGTGGATCAAATCATCTACTTCTCAAATTCAGTTTTGCTCACACTTAGATTGGAATATAAACAACAAATCCAACATTTATAAGTGGTCTTTAATTTTTGGTTGAGAGCATGGATATAATAATATATTTTGTTTATACAATTTTACACACTACTAATACATACCATGAAAAAGTGGTTTTTATTATAGTATGCCTTTCAGATTGAAATAAAAGGTTGAAATAAAAGTTTCAAGTAGCAAGTAGAAGTTAGTGCTTTGGCAAGGCTAAAGGAGGATAAAACAACTAGAAAGATTGCCAAAGATTTGTAAGTATTTCAAGATGTTATTGTACAACTTTGTATCAAGGACATGAATTGGAAGAAGATGCATAAACCTAAAAAGTTTGTGTTAAAAGCAAAGTGACAAAATAGCAATAAAGTAGTATGTATATTAAAAGGAAATTGGAATGGCTAATATCAAAAGACAAGGAAACTAGAGATTCTTAAATCTAGACTAGAAGTAAGAAAAGAGTTGACAAAAGTAAACGAGGCTTCATTCTTGCCTCTATATATACTATCTAACTAGAAGCTACGTGGCAATGTTCTATATGACCTCTAATATGTATTAACTTTGCAAGACACATGCCTTAGCTTGCAAGGTAAGTTTTCTATATGTGGGCCACATAATTAGCTTGTTCTTCAAGCTACCAATATGTGTGGCACATGATCAACTTGTTGACCACGTTTCTAGCCTAAAAGATAAATTATAGACACCTATAAAGTCAAAACATCTATGAAGCTTCTAGAAAGCATCTATAGAAGATATTATGGAATTAATATACTTCTACCTACTTTTATTTAATCATATAGGTAATTATAGGTTTACATGTGTATGTCTGACATTACCCTCCTTTCAAGGGACAAGTTCCACAAGACGTGGTCATTATATGTTAAAAAAATCCAAGTTGCAACGAATTGTATTTGTCACATATTCTGATCTTTGTTTTCTTTGAAGATGGTTGATAGGGTGTCTCAGACATACGCATGTAAGCCAGTAATTACATGTATAAATAGATAGAAATAAGTAAAAGTAAGTAAAAATAAATTAATTCTATAGTATTTGGTATAAAAGCTTTCTAGAAGCTTCATAGACACTGCTTTGACTTTATAGGTATCTTTAATTGACTTTTTGGGATTAGAAACGTGGTCAACAAGTTGGCCATGTGCCATGCATGTTGTTATCTTGAAGACCAAGCTAACTATGTGGCCTATACATAGAAAAACTTGCCTTGTAAGTCAAGGCATGTATCCTACAAAGTCAACACATATTAAAGGTCCTATAGAACGTCGCCACATAGTCCCTAGTAAGATAGTATATATAGAGACAAGAGTGAAGCCTTCTTCACTCTTGTCAACTCGTTTCTTGCTTCCAGTCTAGTTTCAAGGGTCTCTAGTTTTCTTGGCTTTTGGCAATAGCCATTCCAGTTCTTTTTTTAATATATATATCAAGTTATTTCTATATTGTCATCTTTCTTTGAGAGAAGTCTCACTTGTTCATTTGTCTTTATCATGTTCTTGTCATTGATAGATTGACAAGAGTGCATTTAAAATATCAGAACTTTGTCTAATCTTGATTAAGAGTGGATTACTCCTTTTTCTTGATAAGACATAAGCATATTAGAAGTTGCGGATTATCCTCTTCTAAACTGATATTGTCTTTAGTATTTTCTTTGTTCTCAAGCCCTATCTTCTATTTGTCTTGAGCGATATTAGACATCTTTTCTTTTTTAAGTGTTATCATGGCAGAACTTGCTGAAATGAAGAGTGCAATCGCACAAATGCAAGAGCAATTGAGGGAGTTAATGGTTGCCATGTATCAATTCAATTTACCATCACAAGGAGCAACAAGATTGGTAGGAAGTGAAGATATAGAAATGATTGGAGCTGCTTCAACATCTATACCAAATCATGTCCCTTCTCCTATGGTGGAACGCCCTTTTAGTATTAGAGAACCAAGAATTACTCTATCCGAGAAGTTTGATGGCACCAGATACAAGTTTAGAAGATTTATCAATCAAATACAACTTGTGATTGAACTTCAACTCCAAAGCTATCCAATTCTAAGATTTCAAGTTAGATTCATTGGTACGTTTTTTTCAAGTTCAGCATTATCATGGTTTTCATCTTCTCTTGAATGACGAGATTTAATATAAGATAATCTAAGGGCTTTTTTGGTAATGTTTCGATCTATATATGGAAAACATGATGCAATTCATCTTGCAACGAATAAGTTCTATATTTTACGACAAGGCAATCAATCACTAAAGTTGTATGCTTCACAATTTCGACAACTTGCAATTGATATCAAGTGGGATGATGCTGCACTTATTAGCCAATTTTTCTACGGATTACAATATGAGGTAAAAAAATTAATGCTCAACTTATCTGATCCTCAAACATTGAATCAAGCAATTGACTTTGCTGTGAAGTACGACAATTACCTTATTGAATTTTGATTTGAGAACCATACAAGTGGACCTCAACGTTATTATAATTCAATAGCAACACCAACATCTCTTCAACACATACATTCGGAAGTAGAGAATATGCAAATAAATGCAGTATATTTTAAACCTCTTATTAAGCAAGAAAATACTCGTCGTCATTAGAAAGGATTGTGCTTATATTGTGGAGAACCTAAGCACACTGCTCAACATTGCCCAAAGAAGCAATGCAACCATAAAATGAGGAGTATGGTGATCAAAGGAGATAGCATGTCGAAAAACAAATTTATTCAGCTATAATAGGAACCGTGCGGTTAGAACCTTGTACAATGCCTAATAAAGGTCCAATCCTCTCCTCAGAACCCCTTCCATGTTTTATGATAAATGTTATTCTAGGACCTAAACATCTCAAAGTCTTTGCCTTGCTAGATTCAGGAGCCTTAGCATGTTTCTTAGATGAAAAATTTGCTAAAAGACATAGCATATTTTTAGTAAAGAAAACTAAACTTGTTCATGTAGAAGTCATAGATGGTTGTCTATTGTCTTCAAAGGATGTTACTCATGAAACACTTCCTGTAGAAATAACAAGTAATGGTCATAGTAGCTTTGTAATATTTAATATCATAAGATCTCTTTCTAATCTAGTCATTTTAGATTTATCATGGCTAAAAAAATATAATCCTAAAATACATTGGACTTCTGGTAGTCTTGACTTTTCTGAAAGTATAACTAAGAGTGTAGTTAATCAAGTAGAAAGTCATAAGTCTAGTATAATTAAACCTATATTTGTAGGAGCAAGTGCTTTCTTGCATGCTGCAAAAGAAGGATCACCTTGTGTCATTTATGCCACACCTGTTTCTATTAGTGAAAAGACTTCAAGTAGCATTCCAAGCCAATATCAAGATTTTTAAGATGTATTTGAGAAAAAAAATGCAGATACTTTTCCAGAACATCCTTCCTATGACTACTCAATTGACTTTCAAGAAAGAGCATAACCACCATTTGGACCAATCTATAATTTATCTCAAAATGAGTTGGCTTAACTCAAAGAGTATATTGAAGAAAATTTGGCCAAGAACTTCATACGCCATTCCAAAACTCCAACAAGAGCTCCAATTTTATTTATAAAGAAAAAAGATGGATCATTGCGGATGTGTGTTGATTATTGAGGACTCGACAAAATCACTATAAAAAACAGGTACCCTCTACCTTTGATATCTGGACTTCTTAATCAATTGAATCAAGCTAAGATCTATACAAAAATAGATCTACGGGGAGCATATAATTTGGTACGCATCAAAGAAGGAAATGAATGGAAGACTACGTTTCGAACAAGGTATGGACATTTTGAATACAACATCATGCCTTTTGGACTTACAAATGCACCAATAGCATTCCGACATCTAATGAATGATGTCTTTTGGGAGTTTTTAGATGATTTTGTTGTCTGTTACCTAGACGACATCTTAATCTATTCTAAGAACTCAAAAGAATATGAACTTCATGTTCACCAAGTATTACAAAAACTAAGAGATGTAAGACTCTATGCCAAGATAGAAAAAAGTATATTTCATACTACTCAAGTCGACTTCTTAGGATACATCATTTCAAATGATGAACTTATAATCGATCCTAAGAAAGTTCAAACTATTATGAATTGGAAGATGCCAAAAACGGTAAGAGATGTCCAATGCTTTTTGGCATTTGCCAACTACTATCGAATCTTCATCAAAGACTCTTCTCAAGTTGCAACTCCACTTACATGTTTGACTTGCAAAGACAAACTTCAATGGAATTAAAAAGCAGAAGTAGCATTTGAAGCTTTGAAGACAATCTTTGTTTCTACACCAATCTTGTATTGCGTCGATTTTTCTAAGCCATTTTTATGGAAATAGACGCATCAGACTTTGCTTTGGGTGCCATATTGTTACAAAAGGGAATAGATAATAAACTTCACTCAGTAGCTTTTCATTCCAAAAAATTTTCAACAGCCGAGATCAACTACAAGATCCACGACAAAGAACTTCTTACAATTATGGATTTGTTTCAAGAATGGCACTATTATCTAGAAGGTGCTAGTAGCCTAGTTA